GCTCTGAGTTGGATGGATCTGTAAATCCATCTACTGTCAGGGAGGGTTGTGAGGCGTGAAACGTCTCCCCAACGCGCTGGTTCAGCTCGTAGTAGGCTATAGAGCACCAGAAGGCCGGCTCTGAATAAGTCACAGGCTGCAGGTCTACAGCAGGAGATCATATCGACACAGTTATTCTATATCATCATGTATATAATGATATATAATAATATAAAAAAGTTAAAGAATGTTGTATATGGAACAAACAAAGGCTCTATTGGCTGTTAGCAGTGAAGCTGAACAGTCCTGATGCAAAGAGAGGTTCGATACAAAGTGTCCAAAGATTTGAATAATTCAGATTTAAATTATTTGTATTGTATTACAATGTATTGTACCGCTGACTTTAACATGGAAAGTGTTTAAAAGAAAACAAGACAGAAGTTGACCAAAGACATTCCATTTAAAAACACTATTTACACTTATTTTGACGTCTGATAAAAAAAAAAAAATAAAAAAAAAACAGAATTTGGATCTCACCCATGCTGTGATTGACAGGAGACAGAGTGCTGGGGGACAGCTCTGTAGGTGAACCTGATTTTAACAAAACAAAAAAAAAACCCCAAAAGGATGTCGTCAATTTAACAACAGTGCAATGTTAGTCCTTAATTTCTTTAAACAAAGAACAATCACAAAATAATCTCCAGTCCAATACCAGCGAATACCTTTGATTTAACTCCAAAAATGAAACAAAAGAAGATCGTCAAAATTAAAAGTCTTGTAAATGTACCTGGGTCCATACTTTGATTCATCTGTTGATCGCTGGCCTCCCCATCTTCACTGATGTAGCCTGGTGGAGGTGTCTCTGTGTGAATGATGCATAGAACAATATATATATATATATATTATATAAAAATATATTTTTTTAAGGCATGAGTGACTTTAAAATGCTTTAAAGTAAAACTGTGTGTTTGAAGTCTTTCAATAAATAAAAAATAAAATATCGACATTGGTTCACTAGACATAGTTCTTGATGATGATACCTGTCAAACAAACTAAATAATTACTACGTCTAGTGCCACCAGGCGAGAGGAGATTTATGTGCCACTTGTGGCACACGGGTTGGAAGATTGAGACCACCTGACTATAAAACCTCTATCTCTTCATGTACTCACATAAATAATCATTGATGTACAGTATAAAGCTGGGCTGTACGAAGTTGTACTATATCTCCCTGTACGCCTCCACAAAGAAAACATCAACTGACCTCAGCGTCATCACTGTAACAACCTTTTTAATCGAGTGCTGAGGTAAGCTTACCTGGTATATAGTTGTTTGGAGGTTCAATTCCTGCAGGGAAGTTTGTGTTCTCAGGTATGGAGTGAGTGTAGTCATCAAGAGGTGGCAGCTCTGGCAGGATTTCTGAGTGTCTTGGCACGAGAACAGGAGGCAGCACTAAAGTGTTCAATAAAGTGAAAGACCACTTATTTTTTTTCAGCTGCTTTTCCAAAATTAATTTCTAGTATTTTTTCTAATGCACAGTCTTTTCCACAAATAGACTTAGCTAGCCTTATATAGTCTTACCTGGGGTCTCCACCCTCTGGTAATGGTAGGGGTTGATGCAGACTTCATCCTTCTTGAGATGAAAGGCATACTCACATGCCTCAATACCACGCAGCTCGTGATGGCTGTGAAGATCTGGCCATCGCCACAATCGGCAGTAGATAACATGGGGAAGCCCCTTCCTCTGGGATACCTGCAAGCGGCCATCCAAGGATCTGATTGGACAACAGACACAGCACGGTAGTAGAACACAAAAATATGGTGAGCACACAATTTGGAGGGGCATGGGGGTGACAATGCATACATCAAAGTTCTACAAAAAACTACAAAATATTTAGGAATAGTTACTTGGTTTGGTCAGGATAGCTGTACAGGCCTGATGTATCCCACTGTTCTATCATATGTGGTGAACTCAGCCCACATATTTCAGCGCAACTGCTGTGAACAGAGACAACAAAAGAAATAGTAACCCTGGGGCATTATTTAGATGACCATATAAGCCTTGCGAGCATCACTTTTACTAGATATCATGTTAATAATTATTAAAAACACAAAGCAGAACCCAATCATCTGACACATTAGATGAGGACTTAAATAAATATTTTTATCATGAGGGAAATATCTGGAGGCATCTGTATTGAAACAATTGCACAAAGAGGGTAAAAGGACATAGAATGCAACTAAAGAAATTGTGACTTAAACTAAAATGGTAGTAAATGATTAGGTAATAATGTAATTAACCGTTTACCTGGGGATGGTGACACACTTAGTGTTGCAGTTTTGGGTTGTGATCGCTTTCTCCAACTCATCAAGCTGACCTGTCCTCCTCAACTTCTTCACCAAGCTCTTTACAACCTTTTCCCACCACTTCTCCTCCTGCCCATTTTGCTCACCACCACCTGCTCCTCCCTGACTATTGGTTGACTTCTTCCAACCCAGCAACCTCTTCACCACTGGAGGAGTGAACGGGAGAATGGAGGACATCTTAGCTGGCCAAGGGAACTCAAGTGTTTTCACACAGTGACAGAGGGATCCTGGAGCCTGGAGCCTCAGGTGAGACTCTTGATTTGAAGGGTTCCCGCTACAGACCAGAGTCAAACAGGAAGCCAGGGTTGGCAGGGTGGATGCGAACGAGATGCACACCCTGTAAAAATTAAAAAAAAAAAAGTAGATCATCGTGGTTATGCATGGCAGTACTTAGCAAGGAGAGAGGTCAACTTCAGTCTTTCCTAATGTGATTACCCACTGCTTCTGAGATTTGATAGTCTTCAAAGCTAAATGTAATACTTTTTCCAATTGATTTTCCTTTAACTTGGTGTTGTAACACAGTTATGTTTTACTAGCGAACTGCACTCATGGACAATTCGAGGCGAACCAACAAGCTTTTTTTAATTTATGAACTAATTTTGAATAGTATGCCTTTAATACACAGGATGTGCCTCATACCACCAACACTCGGTCTGTGTGTTTACACGTGAACATATAGGCAATCACGACATGTTTTTGATTACGTTTAATAGTTAAAACTTTAACAATAAATAAAATGATTGTGATAAGCGACAGCACAGCCCTGTTGCTTACTGATAGAAGATGTTTTGAAAGGGACGGACAGCTAGCTGCTATCTGAAGTGGAAGGCCTTCCCTGCTTCAGTCAAATCACAACAATAACTTTCCTGACGTTAGCTCGGTGAGAGCTTAGTAGCCACAATAACGTGCTAAAATAGCTTTAGTTAACCGCTAAAAGCTTAACACTGCAGTAAATTGCGCGACGACACGAACAAGTCATCGTACAGCTAAATGTGCTGCTCCTTTTGTTGTCATCTATGGAAAAATGAATCCTTCCAGTCTCAAGTGGCGCTATTTTGCTACCTAAATATTATCACCTTGTCGGTCAAAATGAAAATGTCTAATTAATCAACATAAAATAAATTGTAGCGTTGTGTGATTGATTTTTCTTCCCCATTTTAGTTGTTGCTTGTTTATCAATCTGTCCTCAAAAAGACGGTTAACTCAAAGAAGCATCCGGGGCGAACTCTTGCAAACTGACCGTTGGCTAAACAGAGCTAATGCTAAGCCACATACATCAACATGCTTCAAAGTGGCAAAAAGCAAACATAGCATTTAGAAACTCACCACCGTTTTTAAAGTCCAAACATCCGCTTCTGTAAGAAAAAATGCTCACGACAGCCCACAGTCTGTCGACAAATGCCTTAAACGTGAAATACGAATGCTACTAATTTTGACATTGCTTGTCTGTCTCTTAAGTTGCTACCAGTGCTACTCAGAGCAGGCACACGTTGCTCCTCCTCCACCCTCTTATGTTTAGATGTTGCGCCATCACGGGAGTCATGTGACTTAGACGAGCAAAGCAAACAAACAAGCAAGTTGCCGGCTCAGTGCTCAATGCTCAATGCTAGTGTTAGCAAGGTTAGGTTGACCGGAACAAGACAACAATAACAACATGATCGCTGCTGGCGTGAGTTAGTCCACTCATAATATGATTGGAGGATTATGAAAAAAACGTTATGGTGGAGCACTATTGATTGTCACCAAATATAATTAGGAGATGGAGCACCAACTAGTGCCGTGGTTCAAGTAAAGATTTGAAAATTGTCTTTGCGACAAGCTACTCCCATAGCCATTACCTCAAATGTGGTTGAACGCGTTGGCATTGAAAAGGGGAAGAATATTGGCATTTTGCCATTAAAATGAAAATTCCTATATATACAAGTGCAAAGACTAACCCAAACAAAATAGGTGATACTATAAACAGAAAGTAGAAACGCACACCAAATATATTTTTTAAATATTACAAAACATACAAATGTTGCTATAGTAATATTCTGTTTCAAGGTCAATTTATTTAATTATACTTCTAGAATTAACTATTTTTATTTATTAATCTCCTTATCTATGCAACACACCAAGGCCTGGGAATGGTGGTGTGAATAACAATTAAGATGAGTCTGAGTCTAATAAAGGGTTTTTCATTCCCATGACCAATTGGAAGCTCAGATGTAGAAACAGCAGCTCCACCCCTTCACACAGTTGGTCAATTAGTTTGTAATGGGCTCACCTGGTGTCATTATAAAATGCAACCCTGTCTTACTTGGGAACATGTGCCCTGGTTTAGTTATCTGTGGTCATGGGGAGATGTTTGCTTTTCTATGCTGTCACATTGCTGTTGACAGGGTCCTTGCAAGGTGAGTCACAAGTCAAGGAATTCACCTTTTGTGCCTAATTAAATCTTTTTTTTCTTTGAAGCAACTTAAAGAATGTAATGTGCAGTGATTGAAAACTAACACAATTCTGAAAAGTTTATTCTGTTTGTGTTTACCTGCTCTAACTAGTTGTTTCAGTTGTAAGCAGTCATTTGAAGTGCAATCGAGTCTCTAAACTATGCAAGGATGACTCAGAGTGTGTTCTCTACACAAATGTGTGTGATGGAGAAAAAGACTGCAAAGATGGTTCAGATGAAGAGGACTGCCCAACTTATTGTAAAAATGGTATAAAACTGACTACGAAATACTGCCTGATAGTTTTGTATTTTTTTTTTTTTTTTTTGTGCAGACTTTATTGCAACTTGTGGTTGGTGTCTTTGCCTTGAAATTACATTTTCTCTTCCAGATCAGTTCCAGTGTGCCCATGGGATGAAGTGTATTGAGAAGGAGCAGGTTTGTGATGATATACCACAGTGTCAAGACCGCTCTGATGAACAGCAGTGTATGAAGCACAAAGAGAACTGCATTCACCACTGTGACAGCCACAGTCACTGCCTGCCTGAAAATTTCCTATGTGATGGAGTGAAGAACTGTTTGGATGGCACAGATGAGGCCAACTGTGGTAGGCTGAAGTAATAGTTAGTGATTTGGTAAACTGGTCACACATTGACAGAACTAAAAATGCTTTAAATATCAACATTGCTGTAGCTATTCTCTCAGTATTAGATGAGTTCAAATCACATGGCAAAAACACAATAGACATTGTTGGTGTTGTCAGCCACTGCAGAACCCAGGCTTCAACAGCTGGACCATGATTCTAGAACCATTGAACAGCTATGAATGTCATCTACTGGGCATAAGGATAGTTTTGCTGTCCTCTCCCCCCCCCCACCCCCCCCACCCCAAATTTTAGTCTTGGGCTGAGGCAAAGAATGATGCGTGTTAATGTGATAGACATCCCCAGCATAAAAAAAAAAGTATCTTTTGTTTGGAAAAGTACCAATTGCAAAAGCATGACTTAAAGTGAAGGTATGTAGATAAATGGCTGAAGTACATTTAAGTATTTTAGAATGTGTATTCAATGTTCATAATAGCGCATATAGCACCATTGTGAAAGTGCTCTAAACCTTACTTATGCAAGTTTTGTTAAATCAACTGATTACTTTCTTTTCTGGATAAAATGTGCTAATAGAAGTAAAGTCTTGTGAACATCACCACATGAATCTGCCTTGAAATCTTTCCCTTTTGTATTAAAAAAAAACATTCAGAGGACTCTGCAGAAGATGGGTATCAGAAGGAAGAAAGTGTTTCTACAGCCCCGCCTGCCATCAAATGTTCTCTCGGGGCCAGACCCTGCATGGATAATTCCGACTGTGTACTCTACAACCACGTCTGTGACGGAGAAGAGGACTGCAAGGACGGATCAGATGAGGAGGAATGTGAAACAGCATGTAAAGCAGGTAACATGGTGCTATATGGGCGTCCTAGCTGGACAATACTTTGAATGAATATCAGATGGATTGTCGCCATCTAGTGGCTGGTGAGCGCGACTAAATTAAAATAACTAATACTGTTAGCAAAACCATTCTAGACATTACATCATGGATCAACACTTGTCCCATAACTGCTGAAAGTATGTTGCCAGGAGTTGGCCAAATGTGCTAAAGCTAGGCCAGAAATATGTAATGTTCACTGAGGAAAGACCTAACAATGTCTGAACATGAGCAGAAATTAGTTATCCAAAAATTGTATTTAAAGAATGATGGATAAGCGTAATGGATATATACTGGCAAAAGTGAAGAATATTAGCAGTTGGTTAATGTTCAGTCAACTTGGACATCATATTAGCATTCTACTGCTAAATACTGTATATAGCCCCACAAATGCAAAGTAAGTCAAGCTTGTTTCATTTCTTCCTGCAGAACGTAATTGAAAATACAGAAGCCAATCATTTTATGTCAGGCAGTTCCAATCTGCCAGTTTGCCTTAATGTAGGCATGTCAGTGAACAGTGTAGTGATGTAGTCACGCCTCACATGTATAGATCCAGGACTACAGTTGTATTTAAAACAAAACTTGACTGATCCCATGTGTCCTGTGCAGACCAGTTCCTGTGTTCCCATGGAAAAAAGTGTATTGAGAAGAGCCAGGTGTGCGATGGCGTGCCTCAGTGTCAGGATCGCTCAGACGAAGCGAACTGTGCCAAGGACACTGAGGGCTGTGCTCACCAGTGTGACGACAAAAGCCGATGCATTCCAAGCAGCTTCCTGTGTGATGGAGAGAGGGACTGTGGGGACGGCAGTGATGAAGCAAATTGCGGTAGGCTATATGCAAACCTGTGTTTAAAATACCAGATGTTTCAATGGAAAAATGGTGATATTGCAAAATAAATAAACATCCACAGTCTGTCTTAAGGCATCTAACTACTTGAAATGTGGCAAAAATTTGGATTTGACAAAAAAATTTTTTTTTTTTTTTTTTTTTTTTTTTCCCCCTTTTCCTCACCCCTCTCAAGTCTCCAAAATGACTTAACTGTGAAAGTATCTTCAGTCCACTTGGAGAGTCCATAGATTTCTGAATTCAGGCCAAGGTCGGTCAGTCTTTATTGCCCCAGCAGACACCGTTTGTCTAATATACCATGAATGGCTCATATTTAAAACAATTCATTATTATCTCAAACCTGAGAATCCCAGTCATACAGCTGACACTGCGAAGGCTGAAGTCAACTGCTTTTGTAAGTGACTGGAGTTGTTTACAAGCCTCC